TTTGACTTGTTTTTAATTGTTTAAAAATACTTTTTGGTATTTTTAAATTCTGAAAAAATTTATCAAGATCATTTTCTTTATTTCTGACTTTTATGAAATTTTTTCTAGAATTTTATTTTGATTTTTACTATTTTTGATATTTTTCACTTACTTGAATGATTTTAAATAATTTTAAAAAATACTTTTTTGTTTTAAAAAATTGCTAAAAAATTTGTAAAAATACTTGAGATCATCTCTGACTTTTCTATGTTTTCTTTTAATTTTTATTTGATACTTTGAATATAGTTTGTTATTTTGCCTTTTATTTTCATTTAAAAAACAATTTAAAAACTTTTTTTTTATTTTGTTTAATAAATGCAATTTTATTTTTGAATATATTCTGACTGAGCTTGAACTATATGATTTTTGATCGTGAGCTTCATTAACATCATTGGATCTTGGGTGTTGAATTTAACTCTACCAAAATGGATGAATGATCTTAATGATAGTTTGATTAAAATCTTTGGTTATAATATTTATCCTCCTCCCTCTTCATCTTATTCCTTTCTTACTTGTGCTACATGTTGTTAGAGAATGATCTACATATCATTTCTCCAAACATATGGTACATAGATTTCTATTGACCGGTCTCAAAATATATGCGACTTCTATATAAGTCCACTTACAATTGCTTAACATAGCGCGAAATTTTGTCCTGATTCGAGAAATGATCATTCGTGGCCCAAACTTATGTTTGCAAGCCCAAGTATGCTTAATTTGAAACCTTTGATCCAATAGCCTTGAGGTTAATTGTTAAGAGACTTTGGTCTTATCAATCTTCTAATGGACCTTCATAAAATTTGGGCTAAGTAAATCATTTAAACATCGTTGATTATTTGTTGTTGCCTCGAGAATTTGAAATGAATGATATACTTAACAAAAAGCAAATGAAACTTGTTGTTGAGAAGCTTTGATTTTATCAATCTTCTAATGAGTTTTCAAATGCAAGTTTTAAGATGGTCATTCAGCTAACCTCTAATTTCTGACTCACTAACAATTGACTTTTATTTTATGCTTTTTACTTTACATATTTACTTTTAAGCACCATTTATTTTAGCATTTTCATTTTATGCTATTTTCATCTTTGCTCACTTGGGCAGTTATCTTTATGTCATTTTTGTTTTTCTCACCTGAGCTTTTCATTTTCTTTTTGAAGATACTTAATAATCAACTTGAACAATAAAACTTTAAGGTTACTTGGACTATTTGGTTACTATCTTTGGCATTATGGAGTTATGGACCTCTTGGACTTAGGATTAGAAGTCTTGACTACTCTTGGGACCTTGTGACTTCTGTTGTTATTTTGTCTGGAGTTCTTGGGGTTTACCCCGAGACATTGGGTTGTTTTTTCTTTATGTACAGGTTATTCTGATTATGTGCTTTGTCTGTGATTGTGAATTTCTCTGTATACAACCGTTACTCTGCCCAATTTTTGTGAAGACTTAATGCATCTGAAGTTTAGTATTCTTAAGAGGTTTAATATCTTTGCTTGTTTGGTTTCAATCCAAAGGATGAGATTCTACATTGACTTCATATGTCAAGTGTTAGCTTCTTGTTGGTTAGATGGTTCTTTTCCGTAACTTTTACCTTATGTCTTAGGATAGTCCTTTCATCTCCTCCCATCTTCTTTAATTTCAAAAATCTTCTCCCTCTTTTTCAAAACTTTTCTTGTTTTTTAACTCGAACCGCTTTCACAATAAACTTGGACTTAGGTCCATGCATTTTCAAAATCTTTTCTTAAACAAAACTTTAACCAACTTAATCATACTTTGACATTTTTGTGAGAAGACTAAAGTCAATCAATCTCATTCAAACCATTTTGTCATTTTGGCTTTTTTACTTAAACTTTTCTCAAAAGATTAGACTATTGTCAATCCTTGTAGTGATGTGAGCTACTATACTTCTACGATATGTAGTGAAGTGAGATATTTTTCACTTAGGTGTTGAGCGAGACTTTGTTAATTTTAAAATACAAGTTATATCCTCCACTTTGAGATAATGCAAATTCTTCTTTTTCATAATCGTGGGTAGTAAGTATATTCTTCCACTCGGACATGACGATGATGTCTCATCTCTTAAAATTAACCAACACACTTGTGTTTTAAAATATTTTAAAGATGAACTACGAGTACCATGATCCCCTATTGCACGGAAGGTGGTACGTATGCACTAAAGGTTCACAACTGCGGCGGGTGCAAAAATTGTAAAAAAATATTTCGTTTCCCATCTCCACCATCTATTTTTATACAACACTTATAGTCAAAATACATAAATTTTCAAAGAGGTTCTTGCGGAATACCGTAGATGTTTAGGGTGATAATACCTTCCCTTTACATAACTAACCCCCCGTACCTATATTCTCTCCCCCTCTTTTTTGGGTTATTCGCTCTTTTCCCATTCTTCTGAAAACAATAAAGTACGGTGGCGATTTTTATTTGATCTGTGCGAGTCAAGTCAATCCAATGGCTTAGTCTCAACATTTCTACCGCTACAATGAACAGACATATTTTGCCTAGAACCTAAGTTAGAGCTAGAAACATGAAGAGTAGTAGGTGAAGCTTGAGGTACATCTGAGTCCAAGTTGTCAAACTTGTAGAGACCATCATGCCTATGGGAACCTCTTAACAGGTCTTTAGAAGTAGCCTGACATTTTACAAAGCATGAATTAGCATGAAACTAAAAAAATACATAATTATCTTTGACAAATTGACTGACACTAACAAGATATTTGGTGATAGTTGGGACAAGCAATAAATTGTTTAGTTTTAAGGAAGTCTTAGGGTAGTAAGGTGGGGGAAAAGATAATAAGCCAAGAGATTTTATAGACAAACCTTTACCATTTCCAATCTGGACTTGGTCTAAGCCTGGAAGAGAGATAGCATCAATGAGATTTGATGGATCTGGAGTTACATGATGAGTAGCTCTAGAATCGGAGTACCAAGCTTGATTGTAGAAGGAACTACTAGCATCAGTGCATGTGACAAGCACTTGTGGTATGGTTGCACCAAGTTGATTATTGTAGAACGAAGGAGCAAGTCTTGGAGAACCTATTGGTTGCGATGCAGGTGGACGATGGACGATAGCTGTGATGATTCCACACATTAGACTACAAGTTGCCATAACCAGCATTGGGTGAAGGAAAATCATAATTCGCATAAGGATCAAATGCATGACGATAGTAGCAGTAACTAGCTTCATGACCTGTTTTATAGCGAATTTGACATTGAACGGGTCCGTTGTCAGCAAAACGATTCCCACGTCCTCGAAATCGACCACCACGAATGTCTTCTTTTCCATGGTATCCACCGCGACTTCCAGCTTGTGAATTGAAATGATCAACACCTTTAGTTTCAGGAAAATTTTGTGGAGAATTGAAAGATTGAGAAGTACCTTGAGTGAGATTAACAGAAACAGTCTCAATGATTTCCTTCTTAATTCTGTCAATGTGAGCTTCTTGAGCAAGAAGAGATTCAAACTCATCAAGAGAAGCGAAATCTGACCTAGAGTTTACGACAGCCACAACAGAATCGTACCCAGTAGATAATGATTTAAGAATCAATTCAATCTGATCTCAAAGAAGAACATGATCACCAATAGACATGAGAGTGCTTACAATCGTGCGAACACGCGCCAAGAACTAAAAAAAAGAGTATGTGCCTTTGGAAAGAGATCAAAGCTCTGATTGTAACAATCGCGACTTGGTTTTCATCTGCGTCTTGCAATAAACATGAATTTCCTCCCATACCTGCCATGAATGACGAAGAAGCCCGAATTGAGGGAGAAGAACATTAGAAATGGGGAAGGAAGCCACATGCACAGTAACGCATCTTGTTCTTCCCGGGTGACATAAGCAGGATTTTAAGTTTGCGATTCGCGATCATCAATCGACAGGAATCGCTCAGGGATCTTTGGTGAAACAACATACTTCACCATTCTCGTGCCTCGAAGGACACCTTTGACTTGTTAAAGCCATTGACGATAGTTCGATTCGTCTAATTTCAGAGTTTTTTGCTTGAAGGTAGTCCCAGCAGTAGAAGAGACTTGTGCATGAGCGGAGTTTGCATTCGAAGATGGCGAAGATTCCGCCATGGAAGCTTAAGACAGAACCACACAATTGAGTTCAGAAAAAGATGGAATCAACAGCAAGAGGAAAAATACAGAGTGAAAGAGTGAAGTTTGCATTAATTGAATCTAAGACACTTACAACAGTTTATATAGGTAGCTGTGTAACGAATTCAATAACTGAATTCAATAACTGAATTCTATTATTGGACAGCTAAGCAATCTTACACTATTACAAACTAATCCCTAGGGTATCTCTAATACCTATGAACCAATAAGAATCTCTAAATAAGATTAATTGCATTCTTCTAATATACCTATACAATGGAGGATGAGAGAACCAGGAGAGGCAAAGAAGAAATATGAGTGGAGTTTATTGCCCGCTTGCATTACATTTTTGTGGAATTCTTATTTTTTTTCCTTTATATAATTTATTAAGAATGGCATTCATCTGTTTACATTTTTTTAATAAAATTATTATATAAAAAGTGATCATTATTCAAAACGAAGGTGCATATCATACATATCATATACCTCCGGGTATAACAAGTATTTGGTGTGCAATGAGTGTTCCAACCCAGGAATATCTGGAATAAAATCACAGATCATCTTTGCAGTCAACTTATAAAAGTAACCCAAAGTAGAAGCCGCATAATAAATAACCTCATTATGAAAAGACAAGGCTGCACTGCAGCATACAAGCATTATGCTATTGTGCAAGGACTTAAACAAATGTTGTAGTCAATACAAGCAAATCCACACATGCAGTCTCACAAGGAAGTATATCAACGATAAATATGTAAAAACAACATTACACGATTTAGCCATTTACGGAAACCGTCCTACAAGTCTATTATTACATTGTCTGTTAAACTTACCTTATTGTAGGTTAACAGGTCTCAGCTTGTTCCAAACTCCAACGATTCCCACCTGAATGGTCGGAATATATACAGAACTTCGGGCGAGCTTTTGAAGAGAAGAGCCACACAGACACAGACTGCTGCTATGGCAACCATTGACAGCATTGCAGGCCTGTATACGAAAGACTTCCCTACAGCAGTTCTACATGATAACTTACGATCACAGAGTTTGCAGTGCTTTTGGATAGTTTTAACGTCTGCATTTCCAATCTCAAAGGTAGTGGCCGATTCATCTTTCTTGCTTGTATCGAACCTTGTCGGATTGCTAGGAATATCAACCACGACGTGAGCCCCTCCTTGTCTCTTGTTGATTTTCTTTTGCACCAAGTGAATGTATGTGTAATGACCACGTAAACGTGCATAATCCTCGGGTGTTGACCCTGTGCTGTCGCGAGCACTTTTCCATGCTTCAATTCCCACCTGAATTAAAAGGCCCGAGTTATCATCAAATACTAAATAAATACCACTAATCTTAACACAAGAAAATCTCATCCTCTGTTATCAATTTAAGATGGAAGAGTTCTTACCATGCAGGGATCATTAGTCAAAGCATCCAGAACATCCTCAGAACCATCTTTCCCGGCTGCTATATGGAGTGGTGTCAAACCAGCAGGACCGACAGCATCAGGTCTAAACAAGAAGTTTTGATTCTCTCCGTTAACCAGCGCCTTGTCTTCAGGGCCTACTTTATCTGAAATATTTTGAGGAACAAATCTCAAGAGAAGCTCCACCAACTGCCTGCTATTTCTCCTCACAGATCTGTGAAGGAGACCCAACTCTGAGAGTGCAAGATACAAGGATGCATGGTCTCCTGTACTCACTGTTCCATCAAGGAGGAGGTTTAACAGTTTTTTAACTACTGCACACCAATCGTGGTCTACAGAGAACTCCACGAGCCACTTGAATCGATCTAATGGGAACAGATCTGCACTAGACTTCAAGTGAACCGTCCTAGATTTTATTTGGCTTCTGTGAAGAAGCCAGCCCATTTCATGAATGAAATCCATGGCTTGATTTTTTGCTTGAATTTTCCCAGCCCCTTCAGCATCTGGATAAGTATCACTTTCCAGTAAAGGCTCAAGAACACAGATTTCAGAGCAAACATCCTCCTCCACAACTATGAAAGGGAAAAAACTGCTGCTCAAACCCTGGTCCTCAATCTGGAATATTCGAGAAAATTATAAAATAAGAAGGCTCATATACATAACATTGATGCAAACATGGTAACCTGAAGTTAAGAATATGACAATTTGTAAGGATGTATATAAATGGCAATAAGAATCAGATGAGAATTTAATTATGGACTAGGACAAGGAATAAGTACTGGCTGATATTTTATCATTTCAGACTATACTTAAATATCATAATATGGGTGAAATACAGTATCCACATCAAAGAATAGAAATCCAATTCATGACTCACTATCGTGTTATAATTACTCTTTTTTGCTACAAAAATGTTTAGGCGGAGAGCACTTTCCCTTTTCCAAGAACAGGGCACTCTACAAGCCTCGGTGTCCGCTTATCATAATAATTTAAACTATAATTTGTAATAGCAAGAAATAGCACCTCAATAAATCCTCGTCCATTCAACGCAGGGACAGAACATGAAAATTGGATGCACTGAAGCTCATCAAGATCCTTGGAGCATTGATCCATAGACTCATGAGTATCTTCACAGACCAAATAATTCCCTTCTAAAGCACACAATAACCTGATATAATAAGAACAAGGTTCATATGCAATAACGAAATTTACGCACCCACACATGTATATCAAGTGACTTTCAAAATCTGCATCTAACTTTCAACATGCTAAAATTCACAGGGCAACAAGTAAATAATACCTAGTGGCAGGGCGAGTCAGCTTGACACCCTTCACAGAAAATTGAGCTGTCTTTGATGCTGGTACGGCAATTGGACTAACACTCAAAATCTTACCATAATTGTTACTCCTGAAAGGTAGGGATGTATCAATTACAACCTGGCCTGCAGCAGAAAAGTGTTGCAGTTAGACATAGTCATAAAAAAGTACTACTTACTGATTTGACATGTACACAAGGTATAATAACAATGACAACGAGTGGACATCAGAAGTCCATTAACATTAAACCGGATTCTATAAAAGTCCATCAAATCAAGTTAATATGCGGCAATGGCTTGAATTAGATGTTGATACAAGTACTCGACGTAGATGATTTAACCTTTAAACAATTAATGTAAATTTATTGAGTATAATAAAGGTTGATGGACTTGATTGAATACTGCAACTAAATTCCAACTCCTGTTTTTTAGAAAGATAGCAAAAACAGCAAAAGAAACATAGCAATAGACCATTGAAAATGAAGGCCAACTGATTCTGCACTCTGATGTGAATCCATCCAGTTCTCCAAAAGTCATCATCTGAGACATCCTGAAGCCTATTTAAACTGGAAGTAAGATCAAAGCAAAGCTGTAAAAGAACAAATAAGCCTTGTAAGGTCAAGAGTGTCCCCTGACTGCAGAAATAACCACACACATGCAGAAATAACCACACAGACCAGCTAGTAGTTTTAGAAGGACATTGCTTACCTCCTCCCACACAGCCTCAGTCTGACGCAGATAAATAGTCAAAACGATACAACCAGGCCGTATATAGCCTTCAATATCAGTTGGACTGTGGGATAACCAGTCAAGAATCTGGAGTCCAAAACCTTAGAATGATTAAATTTCAAAGAAAAAATTGAGTAACAGTTATTCTTAGATGCTTTGAAAAGTTTAACGTACCTGTGCTCTGAGTACAAGAGGAAAATCACTTGGTTCTTTACCAAAGAGTTTAAAAACAATTCGATCCGTGCGGTTCTAAATGGTGGAAACCAACATATTAGCTGTTGAATAATGACAATCTCAGGATAGTATAAATTTAACATATATAAGGGTGTCATTCAAGAAAGCATTAGGAGCTAGAATCAGAATGCAATTTCATACACGGGCACTACATAGGAAATTACAGCAAAAATTTCAGCAAGCTAGAAAAGAAGGCACCGTTTATTTCTGACACCTAAGGAAAGTCCAGCATGATTTCATCAGAATCACAGCCATTAATAGGCCTGCTATTTAAACCAGGATTGGTAAAGGATGATCAAAATACTCATATTCAAGGCTTTTTCCACGGTAAATATATCATGGACTGTTCAGTTAGTCTCAGTTCTCACCTCTCCCTCATCCCCTCATACTAAAAAGCTCTTGTATATCAAGAGGAAGCAGAAGCAAATGAATTTCATTCCCCTCCCTTCCTCTGACCTCTTGTCAGATATTCCTTAAAAGGAGTGCACCCATCAGAATATCAGATATTCTTGAGCAATATGATTTTTTGGACTCTCGTCATGTAGGATTAAAGAAGCAGTTTAGTTTCATCCCATCAACCTCGGCATGACAAATTAAGACAGCACGAAAAATTCTAAGAACAACCACCAAAAACATCGGTAGTGTCATAAAATCCCAATCATGGGGAGGAGTATGAGCCTAAAGGACTGTATACATGAGCACAGTGCAACAGAGAATCCAGAATAATGCTGCAATAGATATATACCTGAACTTCACCAGTGGAACTAGAAGGGGACTGGGCAGATGCAGAATCTGAGTTTCCACTTTGAGGTGGACTTGACTGATGTGAATCTTGTTGCATCCATGGGTAATCAAGAGAGCTAGTAACAAGATTTGCAGTGACTGGCAACCTTTCTATGTCCTCTATGCCATCGTCGGAGTCAATATAGATGTCATTCAGATCAAAATCATTCATCTTGGGCTGTCCAGCAGTACTGTCTCTGGCTTCTGAGTAAGCTGGAGGGCTATTAGAAACACCAGGCTTTGCAGAAGATGTGATTTGTTGATCAAAAACCGCAGCATCATGTGCGTGCATCACTTGATGCTGAATTTCACTAATAGAAACTGTTTGATTTTGTCTTGTGACAGTTGGAGAACCTCGGGAACCATCAGTAAATAAAGTAGAAACCACCTCAGACTTCCCAAATAAAGACCCTTCTTTCAACTGATTTTCAGGTTCCTGTAAAAGGTTAGACAAGTTCCTTCCCCCTTGTTCACCATTCTGATTAGCAAGACTCCTTAAAAGATGAGTAAGCAGATCCTGATCAGTGGCCTGATTTGACCTGTCAGCTATAGTTCATAAAAAAAATGTCATTATTCATCCTTCAATTACCAATGACACGGGCTCATAGCAGAAATACCAATTGGAGAAATAGATAAGAGAAGATTAAGAAGAGGAAACAAAAATAAATATGCATTAAAGTATAAAATCTTGGGAGTCATTTTTTACTCTTGAAGACTTCTAGATCTGAAATATGAATTTTTATTTTGCATCCATAATCTTCTATTATTGTGCAGGTTAGCTCAAACAAAAACTGACAACAATGCTCTCAATTATTAGTGTTTCAATTCATAAAAACCATGCCGAGGATCACTGCCTTTTTAAATTGACATTTATCTTAATGTTAAAACAATGTCTCCTCTATGTAATTTCTTCTCCAGTATAGCTGTCAATCATATGGGACTAAGGCATATTTGGACAAGCCATCTCATCTGAGTCATTTTCAAACCAGTTGACCAATCAGTCATTTTAAAGCAATTTGTTTTATTATTATTTATTTGGATACTGCCAAAACTGAAGAATGTCTCATTCCATACTTTGTCCCCCAAGGTACTAACAGATGCTTCTGAATGGAAACTAGTTGTGTACTCACGCAATAAGCTCAAATCTAACTAAGTAGTGTCCACTAGCATCAAAAATACCTATTAGGTTTTCATATTGTGGCTAGCTCGTCTTTACAAAACCGGCTTGTAAAATGAGGGATGAACCCAAAGAAACTACTATTTTTCTTCGATGTTCTTAAATGTTAAGGTCTCACTCTTGAAAATGAAAACTGAAAGTCCCTAAATCTCAACCATTCTGGCAATTTTACAGCCCTTAAAGCCTAAGATTGAATCGAATTTGGATTCTCTCCTTCTTTTCCCCCTCATGTTAGGAGAGATATAGACACAAACAATTTTGATAAACCTTATACACAAAAACAAAATTGAGTAAATAACTGCTTGTGTCTCTATCTCTCTCCTAACATGAGGGAGAAAAGGAGAGGATCCAAATCCGGTTGAATACCCGCAAACGATGATGGAAGGTCAAGCCCCCTACACTTCTCATTCCCATGTCGTAACCCATTTGACCCATTATCTTCCATAGAAATTGAGAGAACATACATAGTCCAATTCTTCGTCATGAAGTGCAATAGAGACTAGAGGAAATATACGTTGGCCAAGGAGTACAGTTGATTCTGTGTGTAAAAATCCAGACCAACAACTGGATCTACGTGTCTATTTCAGGTTACCAAGGTCAAAGTATGAAATCTCTCCTTGTAATAAATATGTCTTCCGGTATATCCTCGACAAGATATATTTTTAGTTAACCAAATTTCAAATCAACAAAGTACCTTCCTGTAGCTATTAACATAGCTGTCAATTTCGTCTAGTAAAAAAAATAGTTTAAAACAATACAAAGTCTTTCATCATTTCAAACAAGAGAAACAAGCATCAATCATCATCATATATAAATATGAAGCCAACTAGGCCCTGCTTACAGAGATTAGACTAAAGAAATACTTACGCTGCATATTTGAAAGTATCTTCAATAAACTTATCAACAGATAACTACTGGTCTGATCATCGTTCGGTGAGCTTCCATTAGGTACAGCATCCTGATTTGTTTTCCTCCTCCTTTTATTATGGCCTGCCAAGCGCCTTCGACAGCTTCTCTTCCCTTCATCAAACTCTTGAAGCAAGTGAAACCTGTTGACAGAATGAAAAAATACCATGAATCTAGATCCAATCTAATCTTTCAAAACTGCAAAAAAACACATTTTTTCAGCTATCCCCTATCTGGTAAATCAAGAAACGATGCACAGCAAAGAAAAAGAACTGACCTACTACATTGTTGGCAGAACCGCTGCATCGCGTTTCCAACGAGAGCCTTACTGGCCTTCGAATGCACCTCACAAACTTTATGACGTCGGTGATAATCTTTAGCATTGTTGAGATCTGCACGACAATCCTCCACCTGACAAAATGCTCTACTGGAGCTACCTCCACCAGCTACTCTACTTTTCTTCCCAGTGTTCCCTTCCCATGTAACAACTTGAGCATGACTACCACCACCACCACCAAGGTTTAAGCTAAGACCACCACCTTCCTTATTCAAACTCAGTTCATCCTCCACTACAATAACCCTCCTCTTCCTCTCCCCTTCCTTGTTCCCTTGAGAAACCCCGAGATCTAACTGTTCAGAACAAGAAGATGAACTGTTTGAATTAGAGCAACCACCAACACCAACAGCAACAGGAAGAGGCAAAAACTGTCTCTGCTCCGGGACAGGGCTCAACCTACTAGCTATGAAAAGATCACCATCCCATTTCCAATTATTCATATCCCACTCAGGCCTTTTCCCCATAGCCCTCAAATCAGATAACCCACTACCACTACCATTACCGTACAATTGAAAAGCTTCCATTTTTCACACAATTCACAAAGAAAAAAAACAAGCAATTTCAAAAAGCAACAACAACAACAGTAGAAAACGAATTAATCCTACTCATGCTCTGTTCTAGTTCCACATAGATCAAGAAAAAGCTCTAAAATTGAGTGAAATTAACATAGCCAAGTCAACTAGAGAAAATTGAGTAAAAGTATAGTTGAAGATTGATGATTGATGATTGAGAAGAAGAAGAAGGTTGTGAAGAGTGGATCGAGTGAAATTGGGAAAGTGCGGGAAGTAGGGTTGGGTGGAAGAGGAAAAGGATGTGTGATGGAGATGGATGGGGGAAGATGAATGAATGAATGAATGTGAATTCTTTGCGTGACAGAGAAAAGGGCTATGGTGGTAATGGAAGATATAGTACAATGATGTGATATTCTATGTTATGTTGTACGCACAAAATTATACTAATACAAATACTAATCAACATAATTAAATTAATTAATTATTGTACTATTGAAACAAGACATAGTCCAAAAGATAACTAAAAATTATCATTTAATACAACCTCTTAGGCATGCAAGCTTCACTACAAAGAAGATTAAGTGTATCTAACTCGAGAGTATTCAAATTAGTTTAGAGTTTTGTGTTTATGTTTTTAAACATCTAATATGGGTTATCTCATTTGTACAGATTTAGTGTCATGAACTTACTGGATAATTTTATCAAAGATGCTCAAAGATATTTGTAAGTTATCATAAAAATATGAGTTTAAGAGTAACTCAAAGTAGTAATAAATTAGTTTACTTTCTCATTCAATGAAAACTCATCAAACCGTCTCATAAAATCATTTTTAACAATAAATGTAACTTATTTAGTTTTGATAGTATATAAGATAAAACATCAAATAAATGTTTGGCTTAAATGTAGTTTTGACTCTTTATTTATATTTTTTTGAATTTGTAAGCTTTCGTTTTTAAAATTCGGTATTTTAGTCTCTAAATATGTTATTTTTGACATTTTTAGCTCTCTAAAAATGTATATGTGACATATAGGAATGTTGAACTGTTCGAATGGCCTTGGTGCCACGTATTTTAAATTTATTATTTAATTATTTTTAATTATTATTAATTTATGAAAATATTTAATTATTATTAACTGAACATCTTTATTGCCCTAATCCTTTCCTGCCCTTCTCCCTTGCACAACAATCTTCTACTGAATCTTTAAATCCTCTTCATCTTAGTTCTTCAGATTCGTTCTTCAGCTCCGTGCAATAAGTTAGGTTCGTTCTTCAGCTTCATTCTTCAGCTCTGTACAATAAGATGTGTTCGTTCTTCAACTCCGTGCAATAAGATGCATTCGCTCTTTAGCTTCGTTCTTCAGCTACGTGTAATAAGTTGCGTTCGTTCTTCAACCTCATTCGTTCTTCAGTTATCATGTCTCGATATTCTGAAGCAATTAGTCAAACCAAATCTCCCTCCGTCCATGGCGAATGTAGATGTGGTCTCGATGCACCGTTGATGACATCATGGACTGATACTAATCCAGGACGCCGTTTTTACGGGTGTGGGATGTACAAGGTTATAAGCTATCTAAACTTATGTAAATTCCATCTATAATTTTTACCAATTATCACTGAGAATTGCTGTAAATTTCTTCTGTAAATTTATGTAGATTTAGGGCTATAATCGATTCAATCATTTTGTTTGGTATGATGAAGAGATGGGACCTAGAACAAAAGACACGATTTCAACATTGAACCAGAGACTAATATTGCAAAGCTCAAAATTGATGCAGTGAAGATCCAAGAAGATGAATTGAACAGGAAGATCAGGAATTTGAAGACTGAGATCAAGTATTTGAAGTTATCGATTGTTATGGTTGTTGTGTTGGTAGTATGACTAGTTGTAGGATTTGTAATAAATTAGGATGTCAAATGTTGTTCAATATTTTGTCTCAGTTTGTTCCAAATGTATCAGTTAATGTAATATCAATATTGTTCCAAATGTAATTTAAGTTTGTTATATCAAGATTTATATGAATGTTGTATCATTTTGTTCCAGTTGTATCAGTTATATCAATGTTGTTCCAAATATAATTTCAGTTTGTTATATCAAGATTTATATGAATGTTGTATCATTTTGTTTCAATTGTATCGGTTATATCAATGTTGTTCCAAATATAATTTCAGTTTGTTATATCAAGATTTATACGAATGTTGTATCATTTTGTTCCAATTGTATCAGTTATATCAATTTTGTTCCAAATGTAATTTCAGTTTGTTATATCAAGATTTATATGAATGTTGTATCATTTTGTTCCAATTGTATTAGTTATATCAATGTTGTTCCAAATGTATCAAGATTTATATGTTCATTACAGGTCATTTTTAATGGTTTGTTATATCCTACAGATAACAGATCAAGTTTATTTGAAGTTATAGATAACAAATAATAGTTTTTTATATCCTACAACCAATTCATTAATGCTTTCATGACAGATAACAAAATGTACCAAAATAACAACACAAATTAACCATAAAACTTGTTCATTAAACATAATACCATAATAACATTACAACTTAACCATAGTACTTGTTCATTATTGGTTAACCAAAAGGTATCCAAACTAACAAAAGATACTTGATCATTGCTCATAGTACTTGAGCATTACATAACAAAAGGTACTCAAACTAACGACAAATATTTATATAACATTATTGTTAAGATGGTTATGTATGTGGAGGGGCTTGTGATGAGCTTCCAATCTCAACTTGAGTTGTCTTTTTCTTCTTACCTTGGCCACCCTTTTTAGACTTCTTATTATTTCCACCTTTTGGAATAGCTCTTTCAGCAACCCTCTTTCTCTTACAACTTCTTTTGTTGTGACCCACTGCTCCACACTTATGACAAGTGACGGTTGCCAGTCTTCTAGGAAGGATATGTGGATTTTTTTGGTTCATCGTTAGCCTTGTTTCTCATTTTCTTTGGACGGCCTATAACCCTTCTCATAACTGGTGGATTCATAATGGACTGCTCATCCAAAGGCCACAGTTGTGGACCATTAGTAGGGTAAATAATGTGTGAGTAAATGTTCTTGAAAGTATTCTTCCTGTAAATTAGATTTCAAGTAAGATTGCAATTAAATATAAACCAGTCAGATTGCCATTAACATAAACCAGTTAGTGTTTAACTGATACTTGTAATATTGAGAAACATATTCTTCAGGTTTTCTCTTGATTTTCCATATACATGTGATAGAATGACTGCAAGGGATGCCAGCTAAATCTCATTTCCTACATGCACAAGTCTGTTTATTTAGATTAACAACATATGTGTCTCTTCCATTAGTCACACCATATATTTTCATGTCATCATCACCATACCATGTAGGAGTCCAATGATCTGCATTATTCTTGTTCTTTTCAAGCACCAGTTATATTCTAGGGCATATGTTACCAGTTTAGTTACTTATGACTTCATTTTGCTTAGTTATCCTCTTAGTAAGGTAGTGCATAATCGCTTCCAACAAAGTGATGATTGACTTATCCCTATATTCTAGAATATCCCTACTAAAAGCCTCACACATGTTGTTTACCTGAAGATCACATTTGGAATATGTTTTGAAGTGAGATCGACTCCAATAATATGTTGGTGTAACACGGTGGGAGAACTGACTTGGTTGTTTTACATTTGATTGCAATGTGCGAATAGCAAGAGTCGCCACCGACTTTTCTTTTATCCAAAAGGAAAGGCTGAAAAGAACAGGAAAGACCTTTAGAGATGTTTTCTGAGTTTGGGGGGTAGATTATGAAAAGGGAAGGTATTAGCACCCTTTTCATCTGTAGTTATCTACGGGCTCTTAGTTGCTGGCTAGATCACTTGCTTTTGTTTGAAAATATGCTTGTGGATTTTGAAAGTATTTTGAAAATGTCTTAGTAATGGTTCTCGTTTCTATAAGAACGCGTACAAAGTGTTGTTTCAAAAATAGTTCAAAGAGGTGTTTGTGGAATGTGTTTTTGAAAGTTATTTTAAAAAGGTGTCTTTGTAATGGCTCTCGTTTCTATAAGAACGCGTATAAAGTGTTGTCTTTTAAAATGTTTCAAAATGAGAGTGTTGGTGTATAAAATGTTTTTGTTGTAAGCAAGCGAGCAACTAAGAGCGAATCTACCTACTCAAAAGGTCTTAAATGTTCTTTTCCTCCTCCTTTAGATGTTGCTACCTTACCATTGTTTTGGTGAGAAGCCCCATCGTTGGATGTGAAGGACAGGCGCGGGTCAATCGTACAGTCATAGAAGGCAACTTGTGAGACGTTTTAGCAATTTTCGTAAGGGACTAGATCGTTTTACCAAAGGCAACATCGAGGGACATCGAGGGACTATGATCTTTTTTATCGAAGGGTCTTTGCTAAAGCGTCCCATATTCGAGGGACATGATTGTGTTTCCGAGGTAACAAGCGGGGTTACCCTAGAGGTGAGCGTGTGAAAGTGTGTTCAATTCAAGTTAAGTTGTTCTTTGATTAGGGTTATCTAGCGATTGATTTTAAATCTTGCCATGCACGCCTAATTACTATACAGTATAAAGAAAAACAGATAAATTACAGAAATTAAAATTCTACTCTATTACAGAGCTTTCGGGAATGGGGAATACAAATTTACAAATGGGGATGGATCAATGTGATTAAAAGTCCAAATAGGCAATCAATACAACCAAATCGAATCGAGCAATTAATTGAAACTATAACAAATTTATGAAGTAAAATCAATTAACAAAGTAAAAATAAGGAAATAAAATTCTTAGCATTTGCTCGAAAAGTTTGGAAAGAGAAATAAAAATTCTATTCGTTTAAAGAAAATAATTAGCTAAAGAAATTAAATCAAATATATATATATATATATATATATATATATATATATATATATATATATATATATATATATATATATATATATATATATATATATATATATATATATATATATATATATATATATATATATATATATATATATATATATATATATATATATATATATTATCTTTTAGTGTTTTTTATTATGAAGAAATTAAACAAACAAATTAAGACTAAATAAAAAAAGTTAATTAATAAAATTAATTACAAATTTTTTCCTAAACTAAAATTAGAACTAATCTAATTAAGAAATTTATCTAACAAAACTACATGATTTATTAAATTGGCAAAAACAAATATAGTCAAACTAATTATTTAAACAAAACAAAAGGGAAGGGTGGTGTTAAACTGAAATGGGGTGTGAGGACAAATTAGGCTTGGGGTAAGGTCCATTTGTTTCATCCAATTCAAGAAAATGAAGTAAAACAACAAAAAAGATAGGAAAAGGTCTCTCAGGGGTGTCGAACCCGGATTCCCTTAGTTGTTAGAAGTGTGCTTTGCCAACTGAGTTGTTCTGCT